GTGGCTGGTGCCCGTCCCCCGTGCCCAGGCGCTCACCCCAGCCGATGCACAGGTAGAGGGTGAAGTAGCTCCGCTCGGAGAAGACAGCGAGCACCAGCAGGTTGTGGAGGTAGATTCCCTCCACCAGCAGCCAGCAGTAGTTGGCCACGATGCCATACTGCATAAAGACGGTGGCTGCTCGACAGCCGGCAGCAGCCTGGGGGAAGGGGTGGGAGTCAGTGGGGGTGCTCAGTAGGGCACTGGCCCCACAGAGCTCCTAGCATGGCAAAGGGGCTGGGGGGCTCACCTCATCGCTGAGCCAGATGCCCACGTTGTAGTCGTCAATCTTCTCGTTGTAGCGGGTCTTGAGCAGGGCGTCGATCACCAGCACCGAGACCCCCTTCAGGACGAAGGAGGCGAAGAGGTTCATGTGGATGTAATTCCGCATGCAGTGCAGTTTGCTGCCGAAAGCAGGAGCCCCCAGTCAGTGTCCAGCAAGGACCGTGCCCAGCCTGTGCCCGCCACTGCCCACCCTGGCTCCTACAGCTCCAGCTACCCCAGCCGTGGCCCCATCTCCCAAGTCCCCCCAACCCCCTCGGCTCCCTCTTCTGGCTGCCTCTCATCCCCTCCCTCCCTGTCTCTCGACTGCAGTTCTCCCCCCAGCCCCTACCTGAAGCCCAGCAGGATGGCCAGGGCGAGGAGCAGGGTGCCCAGGGACACGGAGTAGCCCACTGTGTACATGATCTTAAAGCTGCCGTAGGTTTTGGCAAATTGATCCTAGAACGAGAAGGAGAGAGCTGCTGAGCAGGGCTGGGCAGGTCCGTCTGTCCGTGGGCTGGAGCGACAGAGCCCAGGCACGGGAACGGCCCGTATGCCTGCGGGAGGCAAAACTGCTGGGACATCCCAAACCCTCAGCTGCTGTGGGGCTCAGCTGAGACTCGCTCACGGTGCTCCATGGGGGCTGCAAGGCTCAGCCCAGCCCCAGTCCTGCCCCCACTGACCTGGGCTTCGAGGTCTTCGGCGTCCATCTCACACTCCGTGCTGTCCCGCCAGGGCTGCCCACTGGGGCGCTTCACCCACTCCCCGTCCGGCCCACACTTCTTGAAGACGTATCTGTGCTTCACTGCGGGGAGGAGACGGGACATGGAGAACCGGCTGGTTAGAGACCTCCGTGCTCCCCGCACCGGGCCCCCGCGCTCTCCCTGCCAGTCCCCCCAATCTGCCCATGCCGGCCCCCCATGCACGCCCCTCCCTTCCCAGACCTGCCGGAGCCCCTGCGCTCCTCACTGTGCCCTGCTGGCTAGTCCCCCACGCCCCACACTTCTTGGTCCCATCCCTGCCAGGTCCATCCTTGCTGCCAGTGACGGGGTCCGGAATGGCCGACAGCGCCCAGAGCCAATGAACCCTGCCCTGCCCCATTAGCCAGCTGGGGCAGCCAAGGGTCAGGCAGTGAGTATCCCGGCTCCCCACCCCACACTCCATCCCCTGCCTCCCCGGCCAGCACAGGGCTCTCCTCAGCACCCCCTCCCACAGCTCCTGGCCCTGCAAGCCGCAGGGGCACCAGAAGGCCTCCATTCCCCACCCCTGCTGACCTACAGCTGGTCAGAGCTCCCCGGAGCCCAGGCAGAGCAGATGGCAGCCGCTGCCCATGTGCGCCCAGCAGGACAGGACAGCCCCAGGCAGTTACCTTTCCTGTGCCAGGGCAGGAACCAGGGGCAGGAGACGTTGACTGTGGTGTTGGGCAGCGTGTCGGGCCAGCAGGAGAACTTGTCGAAGGTTCGGTTACAGACCAGCTCTGCAGGGAGAAGAGAGGCCCCGAGCAGGGACGGGGGGGTCACAGCGCCTCTGCCAGCCCCCTGCCATCCAGCCCCCCCATAATGAGTGCCCCCCTGGCTGAAAAACCACTGGGGGGCAATGGAGGGGGCAGCTGAGGGGCCATTGGGGGAGTTGGGGGAGAGCAGGTAGAATCAATATTTTTCTATAGTTACAAAACTAACCCTGAATGCCATCCCGTGCGCCCCTGGAATTGCCCCCTCGACCCGTGTGTGACCCCGGAACTGCCCCCTCACCTCCCCCGTGCACCCCTGGAACTGCCCCCTGACCTGCCCCCTCGCTTCCCCGTGTGCCCTCGGAACTGCCCCCTCGCTCCCCCGTGTGCCCCCGGACCTGCCCCCTTGCTTCCCCGTGTGCCCCCGGAACTGCCCCCTCGTTCCCCCGTGTGCCCCTGGCATTGCCCCCACGGCCCCTCCTTGCGCATGCAGCTTGTCTCCAGGCCATGTGAGCTCCTGAGGTCTGTGCAGCGCCAGGGCCTGACACCACAGCAACCCCTTTGAAGGGGCAGGAAGCCCAGGGTCCCATTCTCTTCTGCCACCCTCTCCCCTGCTCAGGCAGCTGTTCCCGACCCCAGCACACCCCAGGGGTGGAGGATCTGTCCCCTGTCCCTGCGCTCCCAGGCTCACCAGCAGGAGCCTGGCTGTATCAGCTGCCCCTTGTGTGGGGAAGGGGAGGCATGTGGGGCTCACGCTCACCTGGGGCTGGGCACGCGGCTCTCACCTGTGGGTGGGGGCTGCAGGCTCATGTTCTGGTGACACTCCTCGCTGTAGGCCTTCCAGCTCTCAAAGAGGAAATCCATGATCTGGGCTGAATGTCCCTGGAGGGGTTACAGCGGAGGGCCCGTCAGCGACCAGCCAGCAGCACCCCCACAGGGCCCCAGAGACCTGGGATTCCCCTGCCGCTCCACCCCCTCCCAGCAAGGAGCTGGGCACGACAGAGCCATCCCGGGCACGGCAGGTCCAGCAGCGGGTGGGGCTCAGCCCCCGCGGGAGAGGCCGGGCTGGCCTAGCCCTTACCTGGCAGTAGAAGACCAGCGCCAGCAGCAGGCTGAGCAGGCGCGGCTGGGACATCCCTCTGTAGGGCTGCAAAACCGCATCGGGAATGGCCTGAAGCAACCTGCTGCCTACAGAACGGCCTAGGCCCGGCGGCTCCCCCTGCTCCTGGCCCGGCTCACAGGAAACCCTGCACGAGACAAAGGCAACGAGTGCTGGGGGCGCTCTGCAGATGGGGAGGGGGCTGCGCTGCCAGGGGCCCAGCTGCACGCTATGGTGCAGGCAAGGTGACGGGCAGTGCTGTCTTGGTGGGTGGCCACTGGCTGAGTCTAGGGCCCCGGGGGCTGCACACTGAGCCCAGCCACGTGCTGGCAGGACCGACGCAGGAGGCACCGCTGCTGCTGAGACCCTCGCTGAGCTCTCTGAAATCCCACCCTGGTCGCTGGGCCCAGGGGAGCAAAGGTGCTCGGCCCTGGCAGGGTCAGGCCTGTGGGAGGGACCCGAGCCAGTCGCTCTAGAGGTGCAGACACCAGGCCCTGTAATGGGAGCCCGTGGGGAGAGCTAGTAGCCATTGGTAGCGTTGCCAGGTGTCCCAGGCGGCCCTGGTCAGCACTGCTGACCGGGTCATTAAACGTCCAGTCAGCAGCGCACTGGGGCTAAGGCAGGCTCCCTGCCTGCTGTGGCTCCGCGTGGCTCCCGGAAGCATCGGTATGTCCCCCCTCTGGCTCCTAGGCATAGGGACAGCCAGGGAGCTCTGCATGCTGCCCCCGCTGCAAGCACCGGCTCCACAGCTCCCATTGGCTGGGAACCATGGCCAATGGGAGCTGTGGGGGCGGTGCCTGTGGACAGGACAGCCTGGCCGCACTTCCGCATAAGAACTGGAAGTGGGACATGCCGCTGTTTCCGGGAGCTGCCTGAGGTAAGCGCCGCCCATAGCCTGCACCCCTGACCTCCTCCCGTGCCCCAACTCCCTACCCCAGCCCTGGTCCCCCCTCCGCCCCACACCCCCAGCCAGAGCCCTCACCCCTCGCACCCCAACCCCCTGCCCCAGCCCAGAGCCTACTCCTGAAGCCCACACCACTCATCCTCAGCCGCACCCCAGAGCCTGCACCCCCTGCACCACAACCCTCTGCCCCAGCCCTAATCCCCCTCCCACCCTCTGAACCCCTCAGTCCCAGCCGGGAGTGCCC